AGAGAGACTTGGAGAGAGGGATAAGGAATAAACAACTCAGTTTAAACATGTTAATTTTAAGACATCCCAGTGGAGATGTCAAGTAGAGAGTTAGATATCTGAGTCTGTAACTCAGAGAGGACTGGCCTGGTGTTATAAATTTGGGAGCCATCAGCAAATAAATGGTATGTAAGCCATGGGACTGAGTGAGTTCTGGGAACACAATAGAAATGAAAATTCGCAATACCAAGTCCTGGGAACATGTAGAAGTTAGGTACAGAAAGAAAAGGCAGGAAATAAGATTAAGGAAATAGAACAAAACCAGGATATTGAGATTGGAGAGTTTTCAAGAAGGAGGGAATAGTCAACTGCTAAGCGATGAAATCAGGTGAGAAAAAGAATGTGTTCACTGCATTTGGCAGCATAAAATCATGGTGGCCTAGGCCAGAGAAGTTTCAGGGAATGACAGCAATGGACGCCAGATGGAGTCAGTCAAACATAGAATGGAAGACAGGTGGTGGAGACAGTGAGTCTAGGCAAACTTTTCAAGATACTATGCCCTGAAAGGGATCAGAGAGATGGAGTAGTAAAATGAAGTGGGAGCAAATGAAGCAAATGAGTGGGAGCAACTAGAACTTATTTGTGTGCTGATAGGAATGATCTCATAAAAAGGAAAAAACTGATGTGTGCTGGGTGGTGATAAACAGAGGATGGAAATCCTTGTGTAGATGGAAGAGGATGGAATCCAGAGCAGAAGTAGGGGGGTTGACCTTTGATGGGAAAAAAATGTGCTTTGTTAGAAGGGAAGAAGGAGAACATCAAGAGGATGTGGGGAATTCTGTCTGGTGATTGGCTGAGAGAAAGGAGATTGAAGAGAAGCAATGAAATAGTCCTCTCCAAGAGTGGGTAACCTATTAAGAAAGAATTATAAGACTTATTCAGTGTTGATCCTCCATTTGACGTTTTTAATCTTGAATTTAAGTAAAGTCTGAAATTCAATTTTGTGGGTTTTTTTTTTTTTCCCCCATCAAGGTCAGTGGTAAAACATGGATAGGATAGACTTCTTTTTTTTTTTTTTAATCAGCAAAATAGAAAATGAGACATGGGAGTTGAGGGTGTCCGTGAGGGAGTGATTGTAGTATTGGACCATGGCAAAAAGCTGAACAAGGATGGAAGTAAAAGGGGGAGTAGTCTGATGCATAGTGAGAGATTAGTAGGGTTCGTGAATAGGGTTGCAAAGAAGTCAAATGTAGGAGAGTAAGGACTCTAGACCTAGAGGCTAGATGTGGTGGTCTACAACTGGGGAGGTTAGAAACTGAAATTTCAAGGTGGTGATGACAAGTTCTGAAGGGCAACTGGGTAGCTGAGATGGGAAGTAAGAAAAAGTCATTATAGTTAAGGAGGTCAAGGAAGTGAATGAAAGACAAGCTTCAAATGATTTGGAAAACCATTCTTATTTGCTGTGTATGTTTCATGAGTCATCTCAAATCCCTATTTGGCATTCAGATGTACCTAAATAAATAATAATGGTGTGAGTCTACTCTGTAAATACCGTTTTAGGACATACTTTTTGAACACCCAACCAAAATTCTTCATTACCATCACACATTGCTTGGGAATTGCCTTAGTTACCTAGTGCTGCTATAACAAAAAATATCACAGGTGAGTTCCTTTAAAGAATAGGAATTTATTCCCTGTTTTAGAGGCTAGGAGTCTGAATTCAGATTGTCAGCAAGGATAGGTGCTGTCTCTCTCTCTTTTTCTCTGTCTCTCTCTCTCTCTCTCTCTCTGTGTCTCTGTTGGTTCTAGGGGAAGATACCTATCTCTTTCAGCTTCTGTAGCTCTGGGTGCTTCTTAGCTCCTTGTAGATGTATCTTCATATAGCCTCCGTCTTCCCCCTTGGTGTCTGTACTTCCCTTTATAAGACACCACTTAGAAGGGATTAGGTTTCAGACTCACACTACTCTGATATGACCTCATTAACATAACAAAAACTTAACAAAAGAAAAACCTGCTATTCCCAAACAAGGTCACAACCACAGGTATAAACAAAAAAAAAAAAAACTGATTGCCATTGAGTCAATTCTGATTCATAGCGACCCCCTAGGGTAGAACTGCCCCACAGGGTTTGAACAGCTGGTGGATTTGAACTGCCGATCTCTTGGTTAGGAGCCAAATGCTTAACCACTTCACCACGAGGGCTCCTCCAGGACTTTAGCCTATCTTTTTGGGGGACATGATTCAATCCATAACAGAAAGTTTTTAAAAATGTGTTTATTTTCATGTCTTAATAGGTTGATAATTTTCATGTCTCAATCAGTAATGATATAAGACTCTCCCTAGACTTTTAGGTGAAGTCTAATATCTTTAGAATGGCTACAAGACCCTCTTGGCCAACCCTTATTTATGTGCTCTTCTCATTCCCTGCCACTCTGTCTTAGTCATCTAGCGCCACTATAACAGAAATACCACAAGTGGATGGTTTTAACGAAGAAAAGTTTATTTCCTCACAGTCAAAGTAGGCTAAAAGTCCAAATTCAGGGTGTCAGCTCCAGGGGAAAGCTTTCTCTCTCTCTTGGCCTTCTCATCAGTGTTCCCCCAGACTAGGAGCTTCCTCAGCGCAGGGACCTCGGTCCAAAGGACGTGCTCTGCTTGTGGCACTGCTTCCTTGATGGTATGAGGTCCCCCTGTCTCACTGCTCGCTTCTGTCTTTTATATCTCAAGAGGTTGCCTCAGGACACAGTCCAGTCTTGTAAATTGAGTCCTGCCTCACTAACACAACTGGCTGCCCATCCTCACTCATTAACATCATAGAGGCAGGATTTACCACACAAGGGAAAATCACACAATACGGGGAATTATGGCCCAGCCAAACTGATACACACATTTTTGTGGGAACATAAGTCAATCCATGACACACTCCCTTGGGGTGTTCTAAGCACATCAGACTCCTCAGAAGACTCCAGTGTCAGGTCAAGCCTGCATATCTTTGCAAATGCCGTGTCCTCTGCCTGGCATGCTTCTTCACCTGAATAACTTCTACTCATTCTCTAAGACCCATCTCAAGTGTCAGCTTCTGGGTAAAACCTTTTCTGAAAAGTTGCCCATCCAAAAATACCGTTTTTGAGGTACAAAAAAAGTCATATATTGGCAATAGTGTTAATATTTTGCTACCACTATTATAAATTTGAACCATACATTATTGATAATAGACCACTTACTGAGTTGTAATTGTGTGTTAAGTTCCTTACATTCACCATTTAATTCCAACAAGAAGCCTGAAAGGTGGTGTAAATACTTCCATGTATTAGACAAGAATTCTGAGGCTTTGAAAGTTTCTTTCCAGGAGAAAATAAATAATTACTAAGCAGCAGAACTGGGATTTGAATTCAGGTCCATTTGACTCTAAAGGCAAAGAGCATACCATGCCCCTTCCTTTGTCTTATGCATTGTCCTGTCTACAGTACCCAGCACCTGCCTGGTACAGAGTTGAAACATGTATAATAATTCTTCATCTGTCAGAAAGCTACCCAGACAAATTTGAAGACTGACTTTGTTCATGCTCCCCAGGACTCTAATTTCTGATACTTTGTGGTGGCCCTATATCTTGACATTAGACCTACCTCGATGAATGTTACTGCTTCCCTGGAATTTAGGAAGATGCATTTTGACGGATGAAACTAAGAATCTAAACTACCCTTAAAATCTTAATCCTGTAATTACTGTTTATTTGCTTTTAGTCACTGCCTTGATCCATCATCTGCCAGAAAGGTTCCTTATTGCCGCAGTGCAATTACCTAGGAAGACTGGTTTTTTAGATCATAAAAAGAACATGCGGATTTATTGACACATGGGTGCCAAGTTTTGGTGTAATGAAAACAGAGGGTACAGAGCATCTGGGTTCATTTCCTGATCATCCTTTTTCTCATTGACATAGAACTTTTCTGATATCCTAAGCACAATGGTGCTCTCTTACTGAAGACCAGGAATCTGTTAGCCAGTACAGCACAGCTGCTGTAGTGCCCCTGAATTTGACTCACGTTCCTTCTTGATTCATATTTTGATTCTCTAGTTTTCACAAGAGTTTCTAGTATCAAAGTCCACAGCAATGGCTCTCAAACTTTAGTGTACATCAGAATCACTTGGAGGGCTTGTTGGAACACAGATTACTGGGCTCTACCCCAGAGACTCTGTTTCACTCCATCTGGGCTGGGACCCTGTTGTTGTTGCTGTTACGTGCCGTCGAGTTGAGTCCGATCTTATATGATAGGGTTAGAACTGCCTCATAGGGTTTCCTAGGTTATCATCTTTACGGGAGTAGATTGGTGGGTCTTTTCTCCCATGGACCTTTCGACCTTTCTGTTAGCAGCTGAACATTTAACTCTTCCACTACCAAGGCTTCTTTGGCCTGGGTCCCTAGAATGTGTAATTCATTCAAGCTCCCAGGTGATGTTGATGCTGCTGGTCGAAGGCAAAGGGCTAAAAGCAAGTGCTACTCAAGTCGTGGTTTATAGGACACCAAGTGAGGTTGGGTATAAAAACAAAAGCCTCAGCCATTTTCAGACTACACATCTGAATGCTGAACTGTACAGACCAAAAAAAAAAATAAATAAATGACTTTAAAAAAAAAAATTATCTCCTGACTTTTGACATTATCGCAAATGAAGACAATGATTCTTCTCGTGGTGGGGAGGGAGACCAGTTGGCTATGAACTGGGTGTTCTTAAGCTCATCTTCCAGATCTTAGGGAAACTTTCTTCTCTATGACCTTCAGGACATCAGTGTGTTTTGTTCTTAAACTATTCTATAGAAAGATGCTGTGTAAAATCCATCAGTCTTTCAATACAAAAACTAAGGTAAAGAGTTTCCGTTATATAACATAATAAGAAACATGGTCATTAGATTCAGGATGCAAAAGGATGATATCTAATTTTCCTTGTTTAGAGGCTAAAAGATGTTTACATTTTTATTAGATTCAGAATGGTATGAGTCATGCAGATCAACACATTTCTTTTTAACAGGAATCCTTTGTGTTTGAACCCAACTGCCTCTTCAAAGTGGACGAATTTGGCTTCTTTCTGACCTGGAAAAGTGAAGGCAAGGTATGACACAGAAACAGCAAGTCATTCTCATCTGCCGTCTGGTTTAAGCTGCTTTATTTCTCAACAAGATTGACTCTCTCTTAAGGGCATGGACCCTGTGCTCATTCATTCATTCATTCAAGATTTTTTAAATGTGCTTCCATGTGTCAGGTATTGGGAATACAGTGGTGATCAAGATCATCAGCCTAGCCCTCAGAGATTCCAGCCTAGGAACAAAGTCAAGCATCCAAAAAATAAAGAAATAAATAAAAGTTACAAGTCATTGCATGTTTTGAAAGAAAAGTTCAGGCAGTAGGCAGTTACAAGGTATAAAGCAGGCATGTCTGATTTAATCTTGGGGGTTAAGAAGTTTCTAGAAAAAAGAGTTGTTCAAGCTGAAATCTAAAGATGCATTAAGAGTGTGTTCATTTTGTTATATCCCAGAACTCAAGGCATGACACACTGAACACATTTAATGAACGTTTGAGTTGAATTTAAGTAGAATTGTAAGCATATACGTAAAAGTTAGCATGACCCCACTTAATATTTTATATGCACACATATATTTAGTGATATACAGACATGATTAACAATACTGTATATAAAAATTAACAATATTCTAAAAGTAATGATTCAGAATTGTAATCATATATATATGTATATGTTTAAATGGAATGTTTGGGGGTCTTGATTATTTCTGATAGTTGGAAACTATTATTGTTGTTTGCTCTTCACTACCTCTTCTACCTTACCCTAATCAGTTTGGCTTTCATCATCACATTCCTTAAGCACCTTGTCTGTGCTGCAGATCTGGCAGAATTTAAGCTTACTTGCTGTGTTGCATTCTCTCTTCAGGAAGGACAAGTGCTAGAATGCTCGCTCATCAACAGTATTCGGTTGGGAGCCATACCCAAGGTAACTGTGATTGATGTTTTCTGTTCCTTTAAACACAGCTTTACTTAGAATGGAAATAGCCTTCAGAATCTGCTTAACCTGTTACTTCCCCCAAATCATCAGTTGTGACTAAGGACAGATATGATTTAGAAAGCCTCTCACCTGTAACTGTCAGGTGATTTGGATTGCATTATCTTTAACTATATTAAAAATGTTATGAACCTTTGAAAACAAAGACTCTTGAGTGAGACCAGCATCAAAGAAACAATTCCCTTAACTGAGAAATTAATTTCATAAGCCCCTGTTTTTGGGCAAACAATGATTCACTCTGGTTTGTGGTTGATGTGGAAATATAACTGGCTCGTGTGGTTCCATATTTGTGCACCTGTGCACGCAGACCTTGGCTCACCTTGAAGGCTCAGTTTGCCTCTGGGAGAAAAAAAAGATGTGACAGAGCACATAAATCAGACTTCTTCACAGTGATTGATTTGTTTGAATAAGAAGCTGTTTGCATAGT